CTACTTAATTTGTACAAAATACAGTATTATCATTTATTCAGACTTCAATTCCATGATAGGAAATAGGGTGAGGGGTCATACTTGATTTGACGTCGAAAACTAGATTCTCACTACGCCTACGGGCAGTTCCTAAGTTCCCTAAATTTTTTTTGGGAACTGAAACGCGCTTACGGTACCTACACATGTCCCAAATAACTCAAAAATCATACCCAGGGCCTACTCGGCCAATTTCAGAATTTCGGCACAGCGGCTCCACCTCGGGTTGGCTGTTTTCGACAGTTTCCGACCGAATTCGGCCAAACTTGCATCGGTTCCTATGAGAAAACACACTTAGGGCCATCGGTGGGCCGAAAAAATACAAAAAATCGAAACTTACTGGCGGTGGGGCTTTCCGGTGCGGCGGCTCCTCCAGCTCACGTCGCGGTTGGGTGTTTTTCTTCGGTCAACCTGTAGAGGAGAAAACGGTGATCACAAGGGTACAAAAATCACATCGAACGGGAATCGAGAAGGGCCTCATCGGAGGCAAAAATCGAGACACCCCGCGGTGGCGTCGTTGGGCTTTAGCGGCGTTTTCCGACCAATTGGCCGGTGATTTCGCTCCGATTTGACCATAGGTGGGTTTAGAATCAAATTTTGAGCAAAGGATAGAATTTTTACCTCGTTTGGCAGCTAGAAATTGCTCCGGTACGGCGGTCGGCTCCTCGGTGGCTGGGCTGTCTTCTCTGGCATGGGGCTCTGGCGACTAGGGTGAGGGTTTGGGTGCGGATGACGTTATTTATACCCATCCATTTTTTATCTCAGCCGTCCATCGCTTTTAATCTGTACCATCCGATCGCGATTAAATAGAGAATGAACCTGGGCCGTCCGTGCGCGATTCAATCTTTGCTGTCCGTGCACGATACAATCTGGGTCGTCCGTGCACGCGGGAACGGATCTCAACCGTTCGATCGCACGCACGCGGATCGCCCACGTGGCTCCCTTCCGCGTGGCCTCTCGCGTTAACGTGTCATCCACCTGGCGTATCCCTGTTGGCCGGGGCTGCTGACCGGGCAGCTAACGTGGCACAATTTTTCTAAATTACGTTTTGACCACCGGTTTCTTATTTTGTTCTTCAAAAATACCTCCAGAACCTAAATTTTTACCTATTTTTTTCAAAATTGTTTTCAATTAAATCTCTAAATAATTTTTATCCCTTATTATTATTATTACTATTATTATTTTTATTAAAAAAATGAACTAAATTAAATTCAATATAAAATTACATAAATAATAATTATATTCATATAATAATAATATAATTAAAAAAAAAATTTGGGTGTTACAATATATATATATCTTTTTAATTGTGATATAGAATTTATTCTTTAGATATACAATAAATCAATATGACTCGTATATTTATCTTTTAAGTATAGTACAAACTTCATTTTTGTCTGTTACACAATAAAGAAGTATAGATTTAATAATAAAAAATGATTTTAACAGTAATAGTTACATTAAATTAAAAAAATTATAATTATATTAGTAAAGCATGGATTGAATTTTATAAGAACTAGAGCTGGAACTTGAAAACTTAAGTGCGTTCATAACATGGGTTCTCGACTAGAGGTAATTACTACTATTTATATTTCATTGATTTTCTATTCGCATCTATAAAATATATATATATATATATATATTTACTTACAAATTTAGTAATTATAAGCTTGTTAATTTCGAAAAAATTACTAAAAATTGAGTCTAAAAATTATTTTTTGTTACAATTTTGTAATTAAAGTTACAACTTTAAATTAGTTTTCTTTTAAATATGTTAAAATTTGAGTTTTTTGTTTCCTCTTTGACTTACATATATATTTTCATTTTCTATTTCTATTAAACCCAGAAGTTATAGGATGACTGTAAGAAATATTTTTTCCTGGATTCTTTGTCAATTATGAATCCTAATTCTTATTTAATATATCTATCAAGTAGTTCATATCGGGCATGCATTTTATAATTAGTACTTTCATATAGAAGCACAACTAAAAGAGAGTTACTTCTTTATAAATGCTGGAAAAGAAAATTATTTACAGTTTCGTGAGTTCTTGAAAAATTATATAGAGAATCTTCCCACATATCTCCACTT